CCCAGGCACTAACACCAGAAATATAGGACTGATCTTTTCATCTTCCTTTACTTTCCGCCTTTCATCACTTTCCAAGACTTTGTGACACTCTCAAGTAACTTCAAATATTGGGTCATTAGGAAAGTCATGACGCATTTTTGATAGAAAAAGGTAGGAAAATGCATCTTGACTTTCCCAATGACCTAATGTATCTCCTTTAATATACCCACTGCCACTGCCCTCCTGTAGGTCAATATTACTCCATAGCCTCTAGCCTTTGTCTTCCTACATTCTTTTTACTAACTTTTTAAATTATTTGATTTTTTTTTTGGAACATAGATTGTATTTTGCTTTTTAGAACTAAAAAAAGAAAAGCCGAAACCAATATAACTTTGAGGCAATAAACAAAAATATATTGAGAAGGGGCCTGCAGGTGGTGTGGTGAGCAGCCCCTTGAACTACCAAACCATCTGCTGGCTGGACTCCCAAGTGGCCAACCTTACTTGGAGGACCATGGTTTAAGCCTCAGACCTGGTGGCTTGCTTTCCATTTCTTTCTTTGTCTCTCTCTGGTCAAATTAAAACAAAAATAAATAATAATAACAAATAAAGTTTAATAAATTTAAAAAAAGAATATAATGAGAGATCATTTCTGCCTACTAAATCTATAGATAACAGCTCCGAGATTACTTTATACACATGCTATGGATGAACACATGTACACAACATTTATGTATAAGAACAAAAAGTATATTTTAGTGCTCTGTCAAATACAGTGGGACAAAACAAATGCCTTTGATTAGAACACGACAGATAGAGCCCTAAATGTCCTCCCATGCCACAGCCAATGTTTAATCTGTGATTGCAGAATTAGAAAATTCTTTTCAATACCACGTCATAGATCCTTGCTGTCACTGTTTCCCTGATCATTTTTTGTCCTCAGAAAGAGACATGAACTATTCCAGTGCTTCCTAATGTTGAGTCTTCTGACTTTATTAGCTGTGCTGCCATTTAATGTTAGATGACAAGTTTCATTCCTCTTCTAAAGTATAATCTGTCCCCTTCTTACATCTCTGATGGCCCCTATGTTAAAGGTAATGTTCAAAAGAGGATGTATATAATTGTCTTTCCTGTGGCAAACTTTAACTTATTTTATGCTCCAGGATCTATGCAATAAAGCAAAAGTAATCCAGGGAAAGGGAAATGCATACTCATGTATTCTTAAGAAAAGTAGTCCATATCACAGACTTTTTTTCCCCTCTAACTACATTCATATTCAAATAGTCCTTGAAAGCCAAGTAATTATTCAGCATTTATTTCAATCACTTACTTCTCTGTGTTATAACCAAATCTAGCTAAATGTTTGTTTACATAGTTCACTATATCTGTCTAAACTATTTCTAACTTCAAGAATGCCAAATGTTTACCAAATCTACTTTTTTTCAGTTGCAAATAAAGTCTAAAATAAGTATTCTAATTGCCTTTTATTGGGAAGTCACAGAATAGCCCGGTATTTTGCAAGTCAATGGAGGGGAAAACAGAAAGCTGGGTTAAGTCCAATTCAGGTAGGGTGAAGCTCAGCAGGCCTACACACACAGACAGAGCCCCCTAGCCACTCCTCCAGGGCCCAGCATTGTAATGTTAACAACATTAAACAAAAGGATCCTGGGAAAGAAAAGGAAGATTACCTGTCCAACTAAAACTAGGACGGTAGTTCTTTTTTTAAAAACCCTACCAGGAGGGACACCTGCCAGGTTTATACCTATGAGGTCACTCTGGACGTTTGCATTTTTCCATCCAATCAAGATAAGAAATAGAGAAAATCTTTATTACTAAAAAATGCTATCCTGCAACAACACATGAAACTATACTGCAATGTTAAAGCTGCAATGCTCCCTAAAAGGATGGATCTGAACCTGCTCAAATGATTCCTGACCATGGAAAGATGAGTAGGCTGAGAGAGGAGGGTAGGCCTGGAGCTGAGAGGTTCACAGGAATTAAAGCCCCAGGCTGGAAGTAGGGATAAGACAAATGAAGATCAGCCAAGCGGTAATATAAGATCCAATCTGTGTAAAAGAAATGCATGCCAGGAAGGGTCACTACAAAATGAAGTTGGGACTCCCAGGTTTCCATGAATTTAGCTGATACCAATGGCCCCCAGGAAGATAGAGACTGTCAATGAAATCAAGTGTCTCGAAATTCAAAGCCCTAGCGACTTCACTTGGTAATTATCAGCACACCAAAAACAGCACCAAGCCCTGTGGAATGCCTCTGAACTAGATTAAACCACCAGACTACTAATTATGCAAACTTCGTATGAGAAAGTCCTCTTGCTCAAACTTGAGCAATCCTGCTCATTTCAGGAAAGCAATTTTAGCACCAAGGTGGAAACAAGAAACTTTTGAGCCTCAGTTTCAGCTCACATACCTTGGTTGGCAGCCTTCATACAACTAACTACAAAATCAGGATACTGGTTACTTCCAAGGAGTGTTAAAGGGATTAAGATTATGAAATAATGTGCAGATGAAAAGGACTAAGTCCCAGTCATGTATCATTTGCAGGTAGCGTAACAATCTCTGTTTCTGTATCAGCAAACACATTTTTACTATTTTATCCAGCTAGACATTTCAATAACAGTCATTGCCATAGTACCTAAGTGCTTTTTACCAGACAACCCACTGAAAGACTGCTTGGCATCTTGTCAAAATGACATGCTGCTACATCGTGTGTCGCCTGTAAGAACCTAAAAATTTAGGAAAGATGATTTCTCTTCAAATTTATCAATGCTATGCTCATGACAATATTGTTTGTATCTTGCAGCTGGGTAATAAATTGGGAAATGAAATAGCTAGAGAACACTGTGTTTCTCTAGCTATATTCACAGACTGAGCATCTTAAGTTTTGAGCTTCTTTAAAATGTCAGCATGGGGCCAGCTAGTGGCATCAAGTTTAAGGCAGCTGGAGCCCACATGGTGTGATCTGAGTCCCAGACCCAACAGCTTGGGAGATGGCAGGTGTGTGTGTGTGTGTGTGTGTGTGTGTGTGTGTGTGTGTGTGTATGGGTGTCCAAAATCCCAAGAGGAGAATGGAGAAGAAGGGACTGCAGCCTGTAATCTCTGATGAGTGCATATAGCCTCTTGCATGTTATATATATATATATATAATGATAGCATGTCTATTTCTACATACAATATATGCCTCAACTTAAGGCAAGTTCCCCTTCTCCCTTAAATTAAGTTCAGAAAAGAGGATGTCACTTTTTATTTGACTCTCACAGTACCCGATTGTGCGGTATCCTTATCACTTGACCTTGAGGTGTACAGAGTACCATTTGAGAGAGTCAGATTCACCTAAAACAATCTCAGCTCTTTCTAATGCTGGATGCTTACCAAGGTCACTTGCAGAACAGAGGCTAAAAAGGAAAGAGTAAAAATGTATTTGTAGGAGCTCACGAATGTTGTGCTGAATGTCAGAACAGTCATCTGAAGTTCACTCTAAAAAGCAATATGATAAGTTGTGACATTATGGGGACCATTATATCCATTCTGGATGGGGAATAGGAAAAAATGAATTGACTGTCTAATGTTATGTGTCTATGGGATAAAATTTCTAGGTATAACATCGTATAGAGATCAAAAGTGCTTCATCTTGCACCGCTGGGGATAAAAATAAAGATAATGTACTCTGCAAAACCATGTTAACAGATGGATGAAAAAATGGATTAGGTGGTGCTGAAAATGTTGATTTAAAAGCCTTGTGGAATGCCTCTGAACTACATAATATTCATACTTTGAGTAAAACCGTCAAATTGTTAAACTCACATAAATATAAATAATTAAAAAAAATTCATTCATATAAATAATTTCAATAAAATATTCCTAGATATGTGCATGAAAACAAATCAACATTATTTTATACAACATGATTTTACATGTTTTTGTAAATAAATAAAAATATTTTCAGCAGACATTTGACTTTCCTCCCTAGCACCCTTAAGCTTTACTTATTCAAGATGACATTAAACATTTTTTTTTAAATCTTGTCATTGAAAAATTATGAATACCTTATGTTGGATAAAGCCTGATAGCTGTGCATATATGAGGATAATTCTAGTATATACCATTACATCCTTCTGGTTGGGGTATAAATAACAAATTTCAAGAATTCTCAAAAGTTTGGTCTAGTAATCATTCTGAAAAACTACTTTCTAAATAAAATATGGTCAAGATTTATAATAATTAAGACAAGGCATGGGACTAGCAGTTGGTGTAATGGCTATGTCACTGGACTCCCATGTAGCTGACCATGGTTCGAGTCCCAGACCCGGTGGCTTAAACTCACACCGGGCATGTGTGCATGCGTGCCCAAGATCCTGAGAGGAGAATGAAGAAGAAGGGATTGTGGTGTGGCCATCCCCCCGGGGGGGACGATTTCTCGCTCTTTTCCTCTCGGTCTTTCTGGTGAGCACATGTGCCCTACAGCAAAAACCTCTCCAAAAAAGAAAAAATAAAAAAAGAAAAGGCAAATATATATACTATATGTACACCCACACACATACACACACACACACACAGTGTGTGTGTGTGTATAAAGCACTTGGATAGAGCTGGAATATACAGGATCAGAAGGTAAATTCCTGGTATGAGCTTCTCCTTAAACTAAGCTAAATGTATCTTCTGGAAGATGGCACTCTATGATCTCTGCATCTACCTTTCATGAGAATGATGTTTTGTATCAATAACAATCCCCAAAAAGCTCCAGTCAGTGTTGCTGCGAAGAGTTGCGCTGAACAAGTCTAGGCGTGCTATTCGTCTCTCAGTCAGCCTGCATCGTGCATTTATAAGGCCAGCCTCTTGGGAGCTGGAAGGCAGAGGCACCTCTGAATTGGCATGAAGGTGCCTTGTGAGCTCCAGTGAAATGTCTTCTCCGAGTGTAGAAAGAGAAGGGATCAATTTCATGATGACAAACAATGACTACTTTAGGAGATGCAAAAGTAATCAAATAAATAACTAAAAGAATTACCTTGTAGATTCCAAAGAACCCCAGGTCTCGAAGGACAGACAGTGCGCTGACTCGGGGACCAGTGGTGATTTCTCCCGCTACCTGCAAACGGATCTTCACGATTTCTAAGGGATTTGTGAAAATCACCTGGGAGCCTCCTGCCTAGAGAGAAAAAGAAAGGATTTAGGATCAATGAAGGAAAATAGTAAGGAGGGTCAAAAAGGGATGAATGTTTATCCTCAATAAAGCTCAGAATATTCTGTCCTCAGGAGATGGTAGTTTCAGTTCTTGTCCCATCAGTGAAAATGGTTGGTGATTATGAGTTTGAATCAAAACACAGTTACTGCCTAGGAAGCCTTGGAAAGAGGCCCTACCTCCTTAATGTGCAGGCTGAAAGAGGGCAAAGGCCACAGAGAACTTCTGCTGGCCTCACCAGAGTCCTCACACTAAAATGACAAAGATTCCTTGAAGCAAAAACGACTGTCACCACAGTGCTCCAAGTCAAGGGCACAGAGGCAGCAATAAAATGAAAAGCAATTAATATCCAAATAAAGAGACATGGAACTGCCTCTCAAAATAGGAGGGGGCAAAAAGGACAAAGGTTCTTGAATGATGGATTTCACTCTGGCAATGATTCAAAAATTGCCAGAGAACATGTAAACTTAGATGAAAGAAAGCTATTTTCTTCTTCTCTTAAAAAATCAGGTCAATCAGCACATACCATTTTATGGAGTTATATATTCTTATCATTTTATTTATGTATTACTTCTGTATAGAATTGCTTTTTTTTTCATATAAATGGTATGTCAGAGTAGTAAAAATAGGCATTAAATCAATTATGGCCCCAACTTTGAACAATGTGTGTTATTTCATTCCAGCAATGGCTGGGTGCCACAACTCCAAGATCATCAGTGAAATCTTTAAAGTGCACTAGAAGGGAAATTTTAAGCTAGCAATTTTGAAGTTAAGCCTATATTAATTATGAGCAATTACATTCTTTCTTACTGCACTTCTACTTGTTATTCCTTGTCACAAATATACTAAATGTTTATATCATCCAAACTAAAGTTAACGCAGAGTTCAGAGCATCAGAATATCTAGTATGTAATGATTTGATCAAAGCCCGTTTGCAGATACAGTGCTTGCAATGTAGATGCTTAGTAGATGCCACATGGTAACAGGTACAGTGTGGGTCCCCTTCAGACAAGACTACTTCTTGGTAGGTTCTCTTCCCAATGACCCAGTGACCCCTGTGTGATTCCAGTGACCAAAGTACGAGTCTACCCTCACAAAATGTCCAGTTCTTATTGAAACTAGCTACAATAATCATCTTTGAAGTATTGTTTAAATATCTGGAAATAAACATGAGAAACATAAGTAATCAATGATAAGAAATGGATTAAATGAATTGGAGTATGTCTATGTACTGAGATACTACACGCAGATAGGAAAAATATTGTAGAAAAATGTTCAACATACATGGTTAAGTAAAAAGTCACATGTTTAAAATATGTGCATGTTTTCCCTTGCGGTACTCTACTACCATGTAGAAGAGAGATATCCAAGTGGTACTTTTAGGGTGGAAGAATTACAAATAGCTTCATTTTTACTTTTAAAAATTTTGCTGTAGTTTTGGGACCAGCAGTTGGTGTAATGGCTATGTCGCTGGACTCCCATGTAGTCGACCATGGTTTGAGTCCTGGACCCGATGGCTTAAACTCATGCTGGGCACATGTGCGTGTGTGCCCAAGATCCTGAGAGGAGAACGGAGAAGGGATTGCTGCGTGGTCATTCCCCCGGGGGGTGATTTCTCCCTGTCTGTCTCTGTCTTTCTGGTGAGCGCATGCACCCTATAGCAAAAACCTCTCCAAAAAAAAAACAAAAAAATTGCTGCAGTTTAAATTTTTTCTATATATTGGGTCATTGGAAAAGGCATGAAATATTTTTCTATGCAAAAACGTCACAACTTATCTGATAACCCAATAGGTCATGTGTTACCTTTTTCCCTTAGGCCGTCAGAGGGTATGTGTGCTCACCAGAGAGACAGACAAGAGAGAAAGAGAGGGAAGAAGCATCTCCCAACGGGATGTGGTCACACTGCAATCCTTTCTCCTCCATTTCTCTAACTTACTGTGACTTGGAGCATTTATGCCCAGGTGTCTGGTGTGTTTTGTAAGCCAGTGAAGCAGGTATTTGAACTTTGATGGGCAATATGGGACCCAGTTTCACTTAACCATCAGGCTAAAGGACCTGTACAATCATTTGTTATGTTAAAAACTTTTTAATTTTTTTCCCTTGCCAGAGAGCACATGCACTCACAGGGGGTAGAGAGCAAGAGAGAGAAGGAAAGGGAGGAAGTACCCCTCATGGAGGATGGCCATACCACAATCCCTTCTCTTCCAATCTCCCTCTTTTCAGGATTTTGGGCATGTATGCACACGCACCCAGTGTGTTTTGTAAGCCAACGGGTCTGGGACTTGTACCATATTTTGCCCATCATCTAGTCTCTTCCAGGTGACTCTAAGGAGGTGGGTTGAATAATTCTGATAGGAATAAAACTGGGTTGGACTCATCAAAAGGCCCAAGAAGGTAGGAAGGGGTGCACATAATGGCACACCCAGAGGCTGGTGTGTCCTTCTGGTCCACACACAGTCATTCTGTTTCCTGCTCTACTTATAACAGCTAAGTTTTACTCATATCCTGTTGCAACCTGCAGGTACCTGGGAAGAAAGACTCCCTGCCTATCTGCAGCCTCTGAGTATTTGGGGTGGGGGGAGGGTGTACTTACATTTTCCATGTGACATGGAGAGAATGATTTCAGGTTGGGAGAAAGAAGAGATGAACTTGATCTAACCTAGTAACTGCTAAGGGCACAGTAAAGATTCTCTTTGTGCCCCTGGACTAGAGCTCTTCATATGAAAATAAGAATAGTATGAACACATTTACAAAAAAATGAGTAGAAGTTAAAAATGTGAGGACCGAATTTGTACTGAATGACTGCACATGATGGCAGAGGTAGAGTGATCTGAAGATGTGATGGTGGAAGGGGATCGTGTGGGTGCTAGCACAGTAAGGGGGGAAAGTAGTTGGTAGAGAGTGGGATGATCAGTGCGAAAAAAAAAAGATTATCAATGATAAACTTTTGTTTACAAGAGAAAAACAAATCAAAACCCTTTATTTGTATTGTCTGAAATAGTTAACAATATTGTGTATCTATTAATTCATCTGTCATCAAAGACTACTTTGCCTAAAAGAAAGGACTGACTAGTTGTAAAATGTTTACAATCTTCTGTGAGAGTGTAATTTATCATGACTTTGTATCTGTAAGTTAGTGTTCTAAATATCACTTGTAATTTTGAAAAACAGAAGTGTGAAGGCCATCTTCTTCGGGCAGAATTGCTGAGAAAAGCTAATTCCTTTGTTGAAATTAGACTGAGGGCTGATGTTTCGAAAGCTCACCGGAATAAGATGATCTTTACCAAGCTTAGCATGGCAGGTAACCAGAGGACATTGATTTTGAAGAGCAGAAGAGGAATGAAAGCATCTTCATCCAAGCACTGCCAGCAGGTTAGGGGATGGTTGGGTATCTCATGTGAAGACGGACTTCAGTCATCCTATTTGTCAAACCAACTCATTTACTAAGAAAATCTAAGAGATGGCAAATGGCAGCAACCAGCACAGTGCTCAAGACAGAGAGCAGTTTCTCCAAACACTTCGTTTCTTTTCTCCTTTTCTTAAGTTGGTGTGTCTCCTCCCTGGCTGCATGTTACAATCACTTGCAAAACCGTTTTACAATAGTGACTTCTGGACCTCACTCCAGACAATTAAGTAAGAATTTCTGCATTTGCCCTTGTTAAAAATTTTTCTTTGTGATTATTACGTAAAGGCTGAGAATCTTCCCTGGGCTACACCATCTCTGTCAATCCCTGTCAAGTTGACTTTTTTTTTTTTTAAGAATTATTTTATTTAACTTCTTAATTTGTTTATTTTGAATTTGATCAGAGAGGGACAGAGAGAGAGAGAAAGAAAGTGAGAAAGCAAGCCACCAGGTTCAGGACTCGCACCACAGTCGGCCATCTGGGAGTTGAGTGCCTTTAACCACCATGCCCCCTGCCGGCCCCAATCCCTATGAATTCTGAGAGTCAGCTTACTAGGCTTCCTTAATGCTGCAGTTTATTTATTTGTTTGTTTTTTATTGAGAGGTTTTTGCATGAGGGTGGGTGTGCTCACTGGAGAGACACAGTGAGAGGGAAAGTGAGAAGTCACCCCTCAGAGGGAGGTGGCCACACTGCAATCCCTTCTCCATTCTCCCCCTGGGATCTTGGGCATGCACACACATGTGCCCAGCATGAGTTTCAAGCCTTCGGGTCTGGAACTCGAACTGTGGTCGACCACGTGGGCGTCCAGTGACATAATTGCTACGCCATCTGTTGGTCCCAATGTTGCGGTTTTTATTCTCAGCCTTCCATGTTACTTCAGAGTAACTTTTATATTTTACCTTTGAACTCATGAAAAATTTCTTCTACATATTTCAACGGTGCCATTAATAAAGAGTGTAATGCTTAGAATTATAGAATTATTGTCTCCTAAAACATACATTTTTACTAACACCTGTAAAAGTTAATATTATATACAAAAAAAAAGAATATATATACTCAAATTCCCTGACTTTAAGCCAATTGACAGATACCATTTTTTTTTTTCTTTAAAGAAAAGTAAAGTGAGTTGTCATCACTAAGGATGATATAAGGGTCAAATCCACTTTTGAGAGCTGTAAGAAAACATGCATTAGAAAGAGCATAGTGATACCAGAAAAAAGTAATAACATACCCATAACCTCTGGCAGACTCAGAAAGAAAGAACATACACAACACTCCAATGTTGTAAAAGTGCCGAAGATGAAACGGGTTCTTTGGAGTCAAGCTAGAAGGAAATGAGACTCCAAGGCACCAAGGGAAGATGCTTATCAGCAGATGCACAAAGTCTGGGTATCACCACGACCTGATCGCTGAGTAGCACACTGCCTGCAGCTCGCCCGACTCCAGGCCCATTGTCCATTCACAGTCCCTCATCCATGTTCCTCCTTTGCCGAGATCAAAGATAGCCGCGTTGGCAGACAATGGACAGGAACACCTATTGTGCACAATGTCTTTGTGTCCCTC